CAGGGCAGGGGGCCAAGGGAGTGGACGGGGGCTTGGGGGCTCATGGCAGAGCCTTCCACGAGGCGTAGGGCAGTGGGGGGGAAGCAGGAATCGCCGCCCCACTAGGCAGCACCCAGTGAATCAGGCCTTTTTTTTTTCCAAAGAGCTGGGGCAGAAGGGTCGTTGACATGGCGGGGGGAGCAGGCAGGGGATGGGGCCTGTGAGATTCAGAGATTCGGCAGCAGCTGAATGTCTGAATCAGATTCGGCTGAATGGATTTGGGACAGTGATTTGAATCACTGAATCGAATCACCGTCCCCCAAATCAGCTGAATCTGAATCCAAAGTAAATACTAGCCACTTCACACAGGCCTAATGGCTATATATATCATCCCATTGCTCTTGGCAAGTGGTCCTCAGTCTTCCATTCTGTGGTAGAATTAACACAGGCTGCATGATCAAACTTGGTGGGCATCCCAGATTTAAGAGTATTTAATTTGCATCACATTTCCATGCTGTCATATTTAGCTTGCTAATCCAGAGGGAGATATAGAAAATCAAAAGAATCCGGTGTTGCAAATCACTATAATCACTACTTCTTCATGGAGCAATTAACAGAAGTGCTAAGAGAAAAGGAGAGTAATTGACTAAGTGTTTTAATTGCTGTCAATAGCAGGTAGCAAAACAATCAAATACATTAGTAGGAATCCTAAGCTACCAAATTTTTAGTGTAACTCTAGAATGACCACGTATTACCCTCCAAGCCACTACAATTATTCTGTAGACAAAAGATTGCCCCAAAGTTTTAAAGACAAAAACAAATAAGGTGTAAGCACTAAGACAATGTCTGAATTTGGGCCACAGTCTGGTCCAACCACCTAAATGATTCTCCATTTGCAGACTAGGATGAAAAAACAATCTCACTCTTATGCTGGCACGCAAAATTCCAATGCAGAAATGTTGTGTATTTATGTCTGTGTTTGTGGGGGTTAGCCACCTAGAGGAAGGCTATGGAAGGAGATTCCAAATTTCCTATGAATGACAAAATAATGCTACACACACACTCTCTAGAGAAAGGGGAGCAAAATAGTGTGGGGAAGATTCAGTGGTTTATGGATGTACGGTCCATGACTATTTACTGGAGAGAGGCTTGGAGCTATTGTAAACTGTAAAGAGCCACTATAAACTCAAGAAATTTTAAATGTGCCACGTTAGCTGTACATTGGTGACTTAAGTTTTACTTTAAGTCAAGATATACTGTACCCAACTTGGTACTACTGATTTTTTCTTTTATTCCACAGTGGGCTAATACTTGTGTTCACAAATGCTATCCTGCTACAGAGTAAATTAGTTTACTCCAGTCTAACAGGGACTCACATGTAGATACCAAGATGTTTACTGCACAGCTAATTAGTCAACTGTTTAGTGAACATCTCATGTAGGCACGCCCACAGTGTAGGATATATACATATTTTTAGCTATAGCTGCCTGTAGGTAGAAAATAGCTTAACTACCTAAGCGTTTCATTTGCAAATTGCCTGTCATTTATAATGCAATTAGTGCCATTTTCTAAAAGTGCTGGCACATTTAGAGGGTTGCACCTCTTAAAGCAGAATGTGATATTGACTGTTACCTATTAAGATTTTTCAAAACAAAAAGTTATCTTTAAGATAAATGTTAACATTGTGTCTAATTGCTAAAAGCAGGTTTTTTGGGGGGGGAGTGGTTTACAGGCAATCTTCTGCAAACTAAGAAATATTGTAACTGGCATGTAAAAACACAAGCCTAGGTATCTGGACGGAATGTTATTCTTGTTGAATCAGATGTGATTTTGTAGTATTCCCTTGCCACTCCCATTTTTTAATTGCCAGAGCTGTTTGAGGATATTTATCAGACAATGCAAACAGAATCTTTCAGAAATAATTCCTTTGTCATCAAGAAAAAGCCATAACTGCACTAAAAAGTGAACCATAGCTTTAGTTCCAGTACTTCATCAACAACAGTTGAGTTTTGGTATTTCATCAACAACAATTAAAAACCAAGGCTTTTAATTACACTTACCTCAATGGAAGCTGAAACACAGAAGAGGACGCAACATATACAAATGCTACTTACCTTAACATTACACTTAAGCCAAAGCAAAGTCTAATGATAGGGTATGGAAGCATAAATCCAGTTCCTATTCCCTTCCTTTGTTTCCATAGTGAGACGACCCATGAAGATGCTAAAATCCCTGCTCCCACCGCTTGTCTTTAGGTTTTGTGTTTTTGTGACTTTATCAAAATATTGTTTTTACTTTCTGCAGCCCATTTTTGTTTCTGTTTGCTTTCTCCATCCCTTAGTTCAGTTGTTACCTTTTCCCTTTGATCCCTCCATCCACCTAAGGAAGACATGAGTTAGTAAAAGGTAATTTATCCTAAAAGCTCATCCAGGCTACTCCTGTGAAGGATCAGTATATGGAGACCTGGTACTTCCATAGCAGGCTAAATATAATTTATTCCTGGCCTTGGTTGGCGTAGGACCCCAAGACCAAGCTTGGTTCCCTTTCCGCAATTTGCTACTTGTGTCCTTTCTCTTAATTTTTAATCCCCCAACTCTAACTACCCTGTCTCTGTCCACTTTTGCTCTGTATTTTCTGATAATTCCTTCCTGTTTTATCTGTCCTTCATCCTTCCCTTTAACCTTCATACCTCTTCCACACCCTCCAACAGTTCACCAATGAGATGACCACCTTGCTGCCCTGCATGTAACCTGCTGCTGCAGAAGCAGTAAAGCTGAGGAATTATGAATGTTTTTCATTTGGGTTCTGTTAATATGTTTGGTATCATAGAAAACAATGAGGGCCACATGGTGCCCCAACTGAACTTGTAATCTGTCCTATTCTCCTCACTTTCACTCAGATACTGCAGTCAATTTCTGCCAGATTTTCCTCAATCTACACCATTCTTTTAGGGGTTGTTTGGATGGGACAGAGCAGAGAATTTTTAAAATGTAAAGAGGAGGAGCAGGAAAATAAGAGATTACAGTGAACTCCCATGACATCTAAAATCTCTTCACATCCATACATTCTTTTCTAGACAAATGATTGTTACATAGATAAACTGCACAAGCTGTGTTTATCTAGTTGAGTTCTAATCCTCACAATTTCCTTGTACAAAGTATACTTAACATTTCCTTGAGACACTTTACTTACATAAAGATACTATGGTAATATGATCATTAGGACTACCCTAGAACAGTGGTGTTCAGCCTGTCTGGCCCTGCAGGCTAGATGAGTAGCATGGAACCAGTCTGCGGGTCAGAATGGAGGGAGCCAGGTTGTCTGCAGGTGTGTACTGTACATAACAAAACACCACACATAACAGATACCAGAATGCATTGCACTGTCTCTATACACAATTTACCAGTAAATGGACAAGCAAAATAATGTGTGACGATAAATACTACAGGCTCCAAAAAAGAGTCCCGCTAGAGGATGGAATTCACCCTCTAACACAGTGGTTCTGAACCTTTTTAGACTTGAGGCACCCATCATTTGGCTCAAGGCACCCTTTGGATAATGTCAGCTCTTACTTTTCACTCATTTTTTGATTACAGAAAGATAGAGCAATTCGTCTCAGAAAAACTGAGAAAGACCACAACAGGTCTTTTTTTTAACACTGTGGATTCCCGTTTGAAACCTCTGGGTTTATCTTGTGAATCATGTTTGCACACCTAACAGTGTTAATGTTGTGTGGCACCCTGCAACATTCTTGAAAGGATCCAAAAGCACTCCAGGATGCCACATCACCCTGGCTGAGAATCCCTCCTCTAATACCACTCAGCCCTTGTTTTACTTTTAATTATATGTGTTCTTTGCATGGGGTGAATTTCCTTTTTTAGTCTACAGTAAGTTCCTTGAAGCCTTTTAACAGAGGGCTGATAATCAAAGTAAATACTTACTTCACCTCAAGGTCTTTTCCTCTATGAACATCTAGATTTTTCATTCCATTAAGATTGAGATGTGTCATTAAGCCACCTAAGCTCTCAAGCTTTTTGATTCTTTATGTAGACCTCTCAGAACTTTGTTCATCTGCTGTCAGGTTACAACACTAAAGATAAATGCCACAAATAACAGTTTTCTGCACTGCCCACTTCCAGCGTATCATGACATTGCACATTTAGAAGTAGGGTTGACACAGGGGAATAGCAGAATTACCTAGCACATCTTGCATAAACCAAACTTTTGCAAAACAAACTTAAAAACAAATTTCCTAAATATACCCTTATTCAATTTCCATGATTTCAAAAGCTATCTGACCATTACATACTCTAGAGCAAAGGATGACTTTGTGTTACAAACAAAAGAAGTTATAATAGTTGCTTTTGAATATACTTTATAATTCCATATATTTTATATTGTATATAGAATGATAGTGTTGATTTATAAAATTATATAATATAGAATTATTATCTGGCACTTTCACAATGGGTAGAAGGGATCTGTGAACAAAAAGTGCAATGAAAATGAGACAATTTTGTCACCAAAGTCCAAATACCACCTGTGTCTACCCTCCATTGCTCAGAAAGTAATCAACCATGTGACAGAGATTAGTGACCCAAAGTCACTTTAAAAAACCAAAAATGTGTCCTTCCACTTATAAATCCCAATCCACATAAGAAATATTACTGTGTACCAGGCTTTGTACATTTACTTGTTCTGGCCAACACATTGCATAATTAACACAGCTACTGCCTAATTTGAGAATAAAATTAAAAGCTGTAGTTTCTCAATCCGAGATGTAATAGCAACTACTCAAGTTTGGATTATTATGGAAATGAATAACTGATCTCCTAAAAGTTGTCATATTTTATGTTCCAATTGATGTATAGACTGGTTTAATTTAAAACAGAAATCTTAATGTCACATTAAGCAATTTCTAAGGTACAGTCATGCTATAAATGTATAGGCATATTAAATATTAAAATACAAAATTTAATTTTAAAAAATGTAATGATGCATGCATATTAAAAATAACAAACCTTTCCTTCAGATTCTGCTGTTGTTACCTTCTCAACTTTATTCCTGCTTAGCAATTTTTTCACCCATTCTTCCACTTGAACATTGAATTTCATGAAAGTCACGTAGCAAAAATAAGCTGATAGCAGTATTAAGCTTTCCCACCACTTGATTGAATTATCCAGAAAAAATGTGATTAGCAAGAGCAAGTCAATGATATAAAAAGTCACATCCCGAAAGAGTGGCCACCAGGTAAGATTCAAGATCTCTCGAGAAAATATAGCACACATTCCAATGACAAACAAGATGTTGAATACTGCAGAGCCTACTATTGTTCCAATGCCAACATTACTATGGGCTATGAAGACTCCTATCAAAGAGGTGAAGAGTTCAGGGGCCGAACCACCAGCAGCCATGAATGTTGCCCCAGCTACATCATCTGATATGTCCAACTTTTCAGTGATGACGGTCAATGAAGGAACAAAGAACTCATCACAGACTATAGCTAAAGCTATGAACATGTAAATCATTCCAATGATATGGAGGACAACCGCACCCCTTCTTCTTTCCTGAAGAGAAAAAAGGTCTTTGGGGTACTCTCCCTTGGAGTGTTCTTTTGTTGCATTGTCATGCCCAGTTTCATATTTCATAGAAACAGGTGAAGCTATTGTGCTATTTTGATTCTGCTCCTTGAAATCCAGCAGAGTTCTTTGTTTCCCATATATTGACTTTTGGCTCCCTAGACTGCTGGCTCTCTCAGTGCTATATGGATCCACCTTGAAAAAGGCACTAATTGAAAGAGAGAAAGTGCTAATGGCCATTATACTCACAAAAAGCCCTATTATTCGTATCAGTCTCAATTTTTTTCTGACATTCTGATGCTTCTTACAACTAAACAGTGGTTCCTTCAAACACCATTCTTCAAGGATACTAGCAGCACCGCTTTTACAAAAAGCCATTTTGTATTCTCTGTGGGATGCTGTGGCCCAAAAATTCAGTCAGACAGACAGTTCCTTCATATTTTTTCTTGATTTTAAAGTTAAGGGTTCTTTGACATGCCTCTCCACAATCACAAACTTTTACAATTCATCAGGTGTATACTCGTCATTCATGCTTTAAGAAGAGAAACAATTTTATTAATATTACTGTAACAACACTTTATTAGAAACATAACTCTTTAAAAGGTGTTTTATTGTACATAATTAAATACATGAGTTAATACATTGCAATCAATCATTTTAGCAATATTTCTAACAATAAATAATTCAATGTAATCATACTGCATACAGTGCAAAGTAAGCTTCTCCAGCAACAAAATATTTGTTTCAATAGAAAAATATATTCTATATGGGAACAAAGTTGTGTGGATAAAAACCCATTAATAATCAGATAATTTTATGCCACTATGAAGTCACCTCAGGGCCCTCTCAGTAACTAACACATAATTCCAGCGGAACCAAAAACTGTCTCCAAATGCTGCACAAAATGAATAAATGGAGACCCCTAAAATTATTCCTTAACTTTATTATTTGTTACTTATTGTATCATGTTCAAACTTCAAACATAGGGACATTAATATATTAAACTAACCCAGGGATTATATTAGTTAGATCTCATTGAAGCTTGAACAGTTTAAATTTAAACGTTTAAGCATGTGAACTGGAACAATCACTGAAAATGTAGGCGACAACACTGCAAGCACAAGGTCTAACAAATTTAAATATAACTTAGATGGCTTTGTTTGCCATCTAAAGACACAAGTCCACTGAAGTTAATGCAGATACTGCCACTAACTTACATTTGCTTGGGATCAAGTTGTTTGGACGTCCTAGGAGAAAAATGTCATGATTCCTATTCTTCTCTTTGCATTTGAAAACTAAATGCATTTTGTCTCCCAATTTTGACCTCACTAAAACTATTCTTTTAACCAGCAGCATCGTATGTTTTGTGAAAATTTTTTGAAATGTGAAGGGCCAGCCCTGAAAACCTTTAAACAAACAGTCTCAATGTATACCATTGAAAGACATAGCAAACATATAGGGGGACGAAGGACTTCTCACCAAAGAGAATGTTTGCAGCATAAGGCGATTTAGGACTTCTGAACAATGCGGAAAAATAGCTGCAAGTAATAGCCACTTCAATGCATGCATTCAAAGCATATTTTCATATAGCAAGCACCCTAAGTTTCATTTTCCCTGATGAAAATGATCATGAAAATTTGATCATGAAAATGATCAAATATCCTTTACTATAATATTACTGCTTCTATTTTTTACTAAGAAATATGCACAAGCAATACATATCCTTGCACCTTCCCCCACCCCAGGGCATTTATGCAATGATCTGATCCTGGCAGATGAGATGCCATATTTAAAACTAGTAAAATACCATCCAAGGTATCCACAGTCCTCTTACACACTGACTTTGCAATGCTCTCCAGTGTGCACAGCAGAGGCACTGGCTGATCCACCTTTCCACTTGATTTCATTTTAAGACCTAGTTCCTGCTGCCAGGAGGATCAGTTTTGAGCTGAAACCTGCCAGGGGCATCAGTTTTGGGCTGCAACCTTGGTTTTGGTCTACAACCTGCCAGGGACATCGGTTTTGGGCTGCCACATGCAGCCTCGGGGGGTGGGGGGTAAAGATGATGTTCCCATGGTGGATTTATGACCCGCCAGATTGCAATAAATAAGATTAAAGAGGGGGGAGAGAGGGCCGCCTGGCTGCTGCCTGCGCTTGTATGGCCAAGTCAGGAGCAGAAGGGCGGGGGCTCGACACATCCCTGGAAAAGAAGCAGTAGCTGGAAATCTCCGCACGCCGGCTGGGCAGCACACAGCGTCCTCAGCTCTGCAAGGTCCCCCTGCCTGCTGCTCTCTCACCCGGATTCTTCTCCTCCCCCCCGGCCCAAGCCCAAAGGCTGCTCCCCCAAAGTCTCCCCTCTGCTCCAGGCTCCTCTCGATCCCTTTGCAGCTTCTCCTCTTCCCCTCTCGTCTGTGCCTGGAATCCAGGTCGGGTGAGAGGGGAGGGGATCACTGGGGCTCTACATTGTGCAGGAAGAGCTAGGATCCCCCTCCTCTGCCTCCTTCTCCTCCCTCCCCCCCAGCCGCATCCCTGGTGGGGGGTGGGATCCGGATCCGGATCCGGCAGCAGATGCCCGGGTCCCGCTGCAGGTCCTTACCTCTTCCTCTGCCGGCTGATGCAGAAGGTGGCTGGCATGAGTGATGCCCGCACCCAGCTGCTGCGGCTGCTTGGAGTCTCCTGGGCAAGGGAGGGAGGGACTAGCTGGATTCTGCTGGCAGCCGCCTCTTACCCGGCCATGTAAAAGGATGAGGTGGGAGTGAGCCTGACCTGTACCAGCTACACAGCATCCAGGGCCGGCCCCTTCTCCGCCCGGCGCCAGAGCCACTCCCCCTCGCCTCTCCGCCCAGCCTCCCTCCCTCACGCACAGTAAGTCAGGAAGCTGGAAGGTTCTGTCGCGGGTTTGTCTTTTTCTGCCAGCCGCTGAACCCGTGTCTTTCTGCATCTGCCAGGCTGGCAAGGGGCACACAGAAGTCGGACAAACCTACTGAAGCCAAAAAGTTCAGCACAAGAGGAGTCATAGAGGCACACAGGCGTCATAGAGGCTGGAAGGGACCTCCCGAGGTCATCTTAGTGCAGCCTTCTTTGTACCAGGGCCCATTTTGTATCAGTCCCAACCTGGTACCCCTCACTCCCAAACCACTGCCCCCCAGGCCCCAGCCCCCCACTGTGTGGGGCAGGAGGGGCCCCAAGCAGCCCCTGGCAGGCTAGAGCTCTGCCAGCCTGCAAGGGAAAAGCCACCGTTTTTCTCTTTTAAAGGAGAATCCATTTGTAAAAGTTTGTTGATCCATTTTTAAAGTTTGTTGGTGACCCTTTCATACATTCTTGTGACCCACTTTTGGGTTGTGACCAGTGCATTGAGAAATGCTAATCTAGTCCAACCCCCTTCCTTAGTCAGCATCATATTTGTCCAAACCATTCATCCCTGCACAAAACAAGGTAGATTTTGGCTCTCTTTTTTTCAGCCAATCCTCTCTTTACCTCTTCTGCTTCCCTGCTTCATACAACAGGCAGGGATTTATAGTTTCATACTTGTTAGGGGCTAGAAGGGACCTTACAGATCATCCAATCCAGCCCACATGCATGTGGGCTTTCTTAGGGAGGTATCTTTCTTAGGGAGGTTTCTCTTCTTGGGCTTAACTCTGTCCCAGCTATATGGTTGGTCCAGTAAAATATATCACCCTAAGAAATCTCTGCCTCTTGCAAAATCCCTGGACTGCCACAGCTACAGCATCACTCTAACACTATCCCCCCATCTTATACAAAGAATTCAGGACTGGAGAGAGATTGATAGCTGGAGAGACCGAGACCTCTGTTGGCAGAAAAAGTGGAAGCATGAGTCATACCACCTGCTACCACGGATATGCCGCAGCTTCAGCCATGGAAGAACAAGGGGAAAGGAAAAATTTATACGAAGTCCACTGAATATGATGGGGCTGCTTGTTTAATAATGACCGTAAATCAGGAAATGGATCTAGGGCTGATCTTCACAAGTTCTGCTTGAATTGTCCTGCTCTTCCAACTGCCTTCAGGATAACTATTTTTTTAGCAATGAAGGTAATCCCAGAGAGGAAGTATACCTTTCCAAAGGAAGAGGCAAAGTAATGGCCTTCATTTTGTATTTCCTGATATTACTCAATTTGTGTTAAGTAATTAGAATATATTTTTTTCCCTGTATACTGGGTAAGGGAAATGTGAGGTTTTGGATTTTATTTAGAAAGAAAGTTATCAATCGCTAACCATTTACTCAAGAACAGAAGTATCCATACACTTTCAAAATTATCCCAGCTACTAATAAAAGATGAGCTCTAACCAAAAACCCTTCACCCAAGCACCACTGAAAATAAGGAAAGTTCAGATAGTCAAATTTCACATTTTGGTGTGTTTTTCAACAAAATTCCTGTTCCCAATAAAGTGTAATAGCTTATTGTGTTCCATGAGGTAAGTGCTCTTTATAGTTTCAACATTGAAATACATCTCAAGGTAACCTCTACAGTATTTAATCCCTACTATACATTATAACATTATATATATATATATTATATGTATACATACACACATATATATACCTATACGTGTATTATATAGTACATATAGAAGGCCATCTATCTGCACACATATATGCACCTACATATCAGTCTCTTTTTAAATACCTGCTTTATGCAGGGACTGGTAAAGATTTGATGTGACCCATACTAAGCAAATCATTACAGCAAGTTATTTCAGGATCCAAACCTGTTCACTATTCATGTACTTCTGGGGTAAATGGGGAGAAGTTACTGAATTTAAGACAGTGCTAGTGTACTCATATTCTCTGATCTGTTAGGTCTTCTGACTTGCCCCAGGCACTCCTGAGACACTTCTTTCTCTTGCATGGGAGTGCTATAAAGCTGTGGAAGACACACTAAAGATGATGTCTGCAAGTCGAATCTCTAGAGAGAATCACTGGCATCAATCCACCCTCACCATACAGACAGTTAAAGTGATAATGGGCAAAACACTCCCTTGGACTGCATAATCAGTCCCTGCCAACTGCATATTTTTTTTTCTGCTACTGCACCTATCTAGAAATGCCGCCATCTTGGTATATATTTCTGTGTGGCTATAAACAGATCTCATTTGAGGTGGTTCCGATTGTCCCAGGTTTTGACTCAGGTTAAAACAGAAGTGGCACAGTCATTTACACAATCGCTTTTCCAAGTTGCTTTGTTGCTCCTCTGCCAGTAGGTGTTCAGGGAGAGCACATAGGGGTGTTTACTGTAGAGTTAACTAATTAGCTCCACAGTAAAGCATCACCATCTACATGTGCACCTGTATTAGGGCACAGTAAATTAATTAACTCCATTGTAAGATAGTACTGTCGGGAGACAGTACTATCTAACAGCTTTGTAATTAAGTGGAACGAAATGCTCATGTAGACGGTGACAGGGGCTGGCTGGAGCACAAGGTTGCTAAAGTGCAGAGGCATCCTGCCATCTAGCTCTGCAGGTTCTGCACCCTCATGCCCCAGCCAGTCCCTCTACCACTTGACATCACTGCCCAGAGCCTGGCCTTTTGGAGCTTGCTGCCAGCCCAAGGTTGCTCTGCCCTGGCTCAAAGTGCTATTGTCTCAGGTGCATGTGTACACGCTGTGCCCAGGAGCAGCTTACTTTGGCTCAAAGTGCTCTGGAGTTTAATGGTTTTGCCTTAATTGCAGGTGTAGATGCACCCAGTATGACAAGTTTGTCCCTGGAATGAACCACAATTAAGTTAAATTGGCCATGATTAATTTACAGAAGCACACAGTGATGTTCCAGGAAAAAATGTTATTCAGCATACTCCACAGGTACTTGAAGCAAGGCAATGAGTATGAATATCAGTAGGATCTCAGGAAAGAAAACAAAAACAAACAAACAAAAAACAAAAACCCCTTTCTTCCCAGAAAAAAAATGCAGTATCTGTTTATAAACTTGGAGTAATCTGTTTGGGATTACCAAATAAGGTTTTAGTGTCCAAGAGACCTGTGCAGTCTGATTTGGTAGGTGTGTTCTGAGCACACCTAATACATCAGAACAATACTGAGTTCTTCACAGCAGCTATAGCCTCTTCTATTAAAAACAAACAAACAAAACCCCCCAAAAATGGCCAACTTGGTATGTAGCCCTCACTTTTTACATAATATCTCAATAAATAGAACATTTGGAACACCTGGATTCTAGCTTGAGGGGTTCAAACCCTTATAAGCTAGAGCAGTGGTTTTCAACCTTTTTTCATTTGTGGACCCCTAAAATTTTGCATGGAGGTACGGACCCCTTTGAAAATTTGAATGGAGGTGTGGAGCCCTTTGAATTGTAAGTGTGAGTATTCACATACTTTTAATTGATCATAGTCATCTTCTGTGGAGCCCTTAGACACAGTCTGTGGACTGCCAGGGCTCTGTGGACCACAAGTTGAAACCACTGGACTAGAGTTAGTAGCATATTCAAACATTCCTGCTGAAGCTCACCCCTACATGAAAAATGATGCAAGATTCCTAGGGAGAGGGACACAGAAAGCAAGAAGGAGCATGGCTCTGTACTTCAGTGATATGAACAATGCCCTGGGAATAGAGTTTTGTATTCTAGTCCTCATACTGCTCTATTATCCAATACCTCTTTAATGCATTAGTCCTCAATAATTATGGATTATGTAAAAAGGAAATGTGACCATTAGCACCACTACCAACAACAACCAATATTTCCAATTGGCTGGCTGAGGTGTTGCTTCTACCTCTATCCTGCAGCACGCTACTTTTTCTGAATCTTATTCCTAAGTGCCTAACCCAGAGAAAGGACTTCTCTCATTCTCTGGATAAGGAAATCTGGTCCCTATATCAAGTCTTTAAATTCCACTCCTGGAGCTGCCTATCTAAAAGTTAGACATGACAGTGCTCAGCACCCTTATGCCTAAGTGCTCTTCTGATTCTGGATCTCAAAGATAAAAATTATTGCAATCAATCATTTTAGCAATATTTCTTGAGCAAGCATTAAAAACCCATACATTTTGGTTGATTAAATGAAAAACTATGACATTAATATGGGCATTTTTCATTACTTCTAGGACTTAGGTCCACCAGAGGATTTAGGCAGCTAGCTTCTACTTAAGTATCTATTTCCTGTTGGTTTTAATAGGTTTAAATAGGAATGAGGCACATACATAGTTTTATGGATCTGGGCCTCCAACAATTTCAGCAGATGCCAGCAGCTATATAGTCTTGGAGCTGCTATGGAGATTACTGGAAGCACCTTTTTTTTTCCCTAAATAGCTATTTGTTGCCACATGTAGCTACACCAAAACATGATAGGAATGTTTGAGGAGCATATGGGCAAGCAAGAGATTGCTGAAGTATTTGCAGAATCCTGATAATTTCTGGATGGCTCAAAAATCAGATTATTCAGCGGCAAAGGTAGACAAGGTGCCCCTTACATATCAGAGTTTGCTGATATGTGTGATGAGATTTAACTGTATTACAGTTTAGGTACCAAGGAACTCCCTATTAATAGCTGATGCCTTATTGAGAACTCCCCACTGATAATCCAGATTCTCCAGAGACGCAAGAGTATACAAACATACACATGGATACCATTTCAAATGGCCATCTAGTATCATCCCAGACTAGAAATGAATTAAAATACAGTTACAAATTGAATCTACAGATGTAAGACATGACTGGACAGGTTCCTTCATTGGAGTCCAGGCCAATGGTTTGTGCTAGATTACAACTTCAAATGGCCTTCAAAAACTGCTAAATGTTGGTATAGAAGCCTGATGTTGGTCA